TTTATGCTATGTTTAAGGATAGTTGTCAGTAGAGTTATATAAATACTAGTGGCCTGATGCACGAAATTTGTGCACATTAAAAGGGGATTAATTAGAGGAAGTATTTTAATATTGCTATTTGCCCTTTATAATAGAAGTGTCAGAGATGAAAGAAAATTAGTAAAATGTATATGAAAATCTTCCTCCTTTCAGAGTCTGGGGTGCACCACGAGACCCAGAGTCAAGTCCCCGCCCACCCACGAGCGCCTTGAAATTGTGCGAGACCCAGACCCGGCCAGTCCCACCCCCATCAAGTCCTGCTGTGCGGGGTCGCAGCCTCAGGTCCCCCATCAAGCCCCGCTGGGCGGGGGTCATGGCCTGAGTTTCCCTGTCAAGGCCCACAGGGGTGGGTGTGTGGGGGTGATGCAGCCTGATGTCCCTGGTGATTGCTTGTTAAGGATCGTTACAGGAACTTGGCCTCTGCTGTGGGTATAGTATCTTGTGTCATGGAAACCCTGTCTCCACTGTGGGTGCCGCCATCTTTGTGATGGAGTGATGGTCAATTTGCATATTCCCTCTTTATTATATAGGACTAGAGGCCCAGTGCACAAAAATTTGTGCACTCGGGGGGAAGGGGGGGTCCCTCAGCCCGGCCTGTGCCCTCTCGCAGTCTGGGACCCCTCGGGAGATAACGACCTGCTGGCTTAGGCCTGCTCCTGGGTGGCAGAGGGCAGGCCCAATCCCTAGGTGCAGCCCCTGGTCAGGCTCAGAGCAGGGCTGATTGGGGAGTTGGGGTGCCGCCCCCTATCATGCACAGAGCAGGGTGGATTGGGAGGTTGCGATGCCACCCTCAGTCACGCTCAGGGTAGGGCTGATTGGGGGGTTGGGGCACCGCCCACTATCACACTCAAGGCAGGGTCGATGGGGAGGTTGCGGTGTCACCCCCTGTGACGCACAGAGCAGGGCCAATCAGGGGGTTGGGGCGCTGCCCCCTGTCACGCACAGAGCAAGGCCCATCAGGGGGGTTGGGGCTCCGTACCCTGTCACGCACAGAGCAGGGCCGATCAGGGATTGGGGCACGCCACTCTCACACTCAGGGCAGGCTGATGGGAAGTTATGGCTCTACCCTGTCACACACAGAGCAGGGCATGTGGGGCGGGGGAAGGGTTGGGGCGCCGCCACCCTGTCACACACAGAGCACAGGCGATCAGGGAGTTTGGGCACTGCCCCCTGTCACGCTGATCCGGTGCCAGGAGGCCTCGCAGCTCTGCTGATCCCGGTGCTGGAAGGCATATTACCCTTTTACTATATAGGATAGAGGCCTGGGGGCCGGCTGGTTTGCCCTGAAGGGTGTCCTGGATCAGGGTGGGGGTCCCCACTGGGGTGCCTGGCCAGCCTGGATGAGGTGATGATGGCTGTTTGCAGCTGGTCACACACCCTTCAGGGTGGGGGTCCCCACTGGGGTGCCTGGCCAGTCTGGGTGAGGAGCTGAGGGCTGCTTTCAGGCTGTCAGTTGACTGAAGCTCCCAACCGCTCCTTTTTTTCTTTTTTCTTTTTTTTTTCTGGGCCAGCTTTAGCTCTGGCTCTAGCTCTGAGGCTTCCGCTGCTGAAAGCAGGTATCTAGTTTGTTTGCGTTTTATAATTGAAACAATGTATAACTCCAGCTCTGAGATCCCGGCCGGCTGAAAGCTGGTTTCTGGGGTTTTGTTTAGCATCTATATTTGTTACAATGTTTCTTAGAGTTGCAGCTCAGAGGCCGGCAAGTCAGGCGGGGAACGTTGGAGTCTGCAGTCACTGGAGCAAGCAAGCCTCATGTTCGCTTCAAGCTGCCTGGCTGCCGGCCGCCATCTTGGCTGACAGTTAATTTGCATAAGGATATGCTGATTAGCCAATGGGAAGGGTAGCGGTCGTACGCTAATTACCATGTTTCTCTTTTATTAGTGTAGATTAGTGTAGATACCCAGGACTTGGATGCTTGAGTTGTAAAAATGAGACTAGAAGTCATAGACACCAAGATGATCACTCAGGAAGGATGTACAGATCATTGTACACTTGAGCAAATGGAAGTCAGCTGCAAGCCTACTGCTATGACAGGGGATCACTAGCTTATGAAGCCTATACTTTGGAACATGGCTAAAAAGCCCTGCAGTAAAGTAAAATGATAAGAGGCTTAAGGATATAACTCAGATTAGTATCAACAGTTAAAGCAACAGCCCAGCTGCTCTCCTCTGGTCTCTATGCCCCATTCCTCCAACTGATCTACATAATATTGGCAGATTAATTACCCTGAAGCACACCCTTTTGCTCAAAAAAAAAAACCTTCATTGGCTACCCACTGATTACACCATTGCCATCATGTCCAAAGTCTTTAGATATCAAGGTTCTTTATTATCTGAACCAGGTTTACATTTCCAAATTTATTTCCTTGTATTTCTGTTTATCCAGTCAAAGCTTTAACCACATCTAATGACTGGCTTCCTAAATACATTTCATTCATGCTGTTTCCACCATACAAAATGCCTTCCAATCCTAGATATACATAGACAAATCTTACTTTTTCTCCAGTATCCAGCTCAAATGATATTTGTTTATCCTGTAAAATACATATCTACCAAAGAGATCAGGTTATTCTGCCTTACCACATCCTTAAATTTCATTTTTTATTCTTTTAGGGCATAATACTTTTTTTTAGTTTATATTCCAGTTGTTTGTTTTTGCTACTAGATGGCAAACTCTTCGATGTACCTTTTCATTTGCCATGCAAATCCACACTGATAACAGCGTAAGTTTTGGTTTTTAAAAAATTCTTAATAAAATTGAGAGGTTTGTAAGCTGGGGAAAGTTAAGTTATAAGGATAAGGTAGTAATTGTTTATGACTAAAAATGTCAACTTATTTTAAGGAAAAAAATTAGACATCTTTCAGTTCATGTAGAGATAATAGCAGAGGTTTTTTTTTTTTTAAAAGCTGATGACATTGAAAATTCAATTTAAAAAATATTTTGCTTACTCTAATATTTTGTCATGTGTTTTTCTTTTTAAGTAAGAAAACTTTGGTAATGTTTTTCTTACTTTCATTGTTTAAATTAGAGGTGTAACCCCAATTTTTTTCTATCGAGATTAAACTCCAGAAAAGTAAAATTCTATATATATTTTATAGCTTTTATATATTTACAGTTTCTCTTGAACATAGTGCCACCTACAGTTGACAAATGAAAACCATGTTGCTTCTGAAAAATGAGTAAGTGTAGCAGAACAGCCAGCCAGCCACTCTAACATCACCCAAACTTTCCCTTTACAGATCATGTTATAATCACCATGTAAACAGAAATTGAAGTAATACAGTAACAGATTCCAACTGAAGACTTAGATATGTAAAACCTACTTTTTCATAGATAGGATTTTAAAAAAACACCACCATCTTGACTTTCCTCTTTCTAATTGTTTTTCATTCTCTTTATTCTTCTTCAAGGCTATCCCTATCATTCTTCTATTAACTTACTATAATGAAAACAGCAACTTTTCCCTTCTGACCAGCCTTTAAACATGTTCAAATCCCTGACTAAAAACTCAAAACAAAACAACTCCCAGTCTTAGAAAAAAAACACCTTAGTGTCAAAGTCACAGGTATCTTTCTTTCCTATTTGTTTTTTTGTTTGTTTGTTTTTACAAAATAAGAGACTCACATCTAGCACTGGTATTCAAGACGATCATGACCTAGAACCACTACACCTTCAGTAATTCTCCTGAGTATCTTGAAAATCTTTTTTCAGAAAATAATATTTTACACTCTGGATCTTTTGTTATTCTTTTTCCTGGGATGCCCTATAGTGTTGCCTTAGATATTTTCTCTCTTGATCTCTACAGAATAGTGGGGAGCTTTTACTGGAAGCAATAAAGGTGTATCAAACTTCACTGTTTCCTCCTAATCTATGCTGCACAAAAACAGCTTAGAAATTTCTTCTGCTTTGGAAGGCCAAGTGGAAACCCAGGAGCAGCCTAGAGGGAAGGAGCCATGTATAAGGAATATCCACACCTGCCTCTAGTCTTGCCCCGGAAACATTAGTCTCAAGGTTTACTCCCTAGACTGTGCTCATCACTATCAGAGAATATCCGTTGTGCCACACATCCCTAGGAGAACAATTCTGAGACTGGCAATGCCTCCATTTCTGACAACCTATAAGGCATGTATGAAGTCAAATGAATCTAACCATATAAAGTTAGCTAATTTAGAAGACGTTTGTAGTAAATACAAACCATCATTAGGCAAGTATTTCTAGCCCAAGTTGCCTTAGCTGTAAACTATTTATATAATTCCATTTCTTTCTATGAAATTTCTAAATATCTTTTCCTCATTCAATCTTACCTTTCCAACCCATGTAGGCATGGGCATCATGGAAATGAAGAGCAGTATCTCCCAAGTCTGCTCAGAACTTGGTAGTATGGGCTCTGGCAGTGATGGGTTTTTTTATATAGCAAACATGCCAGTGTATATAATGTATATGAAAGTAAGTAGCATGTGAAGTGTACATATAATTTTTCATTCAAATGTAAAGAGTGCCGCCCTGACTGGCTTGGCTCAGTGGATAGAGCATCGGCCTGTGGACTGAAGGGTCCCAGGTTCGATTCCGGTCAAGGGCATGTACCTTGGATGAAGGCACATCCCCGGCAGGGGGCGTGCAGGAGGCAGCTGATCGATGTTTCTCTCTCATCAATGTTTCTAACTCTCTATCCCTCTCTCTTCCGCTCTGTAAAAAAAAAACACCAATGAAATATATATATATAAAAAAATGTAAAGGTTGCCTTTGGGTATGAAGCAGATAATTTCTAACAATGTGTTTCAGTGATTATTTCTAACCTGAAATGTACTAGTTATGATTTTCAGTATCTCAGATACATAGCAAATCAATTTTTAAAAAAATATATTTTTATTGATTTCAGATAGGAAGGGAGAGGGAGAGATAGAAACATCAATGATGAGAATCATTGATCAATTGCCTCATGCATGCCCCCTACTGGGGATCGAGCCCACAACCCAGGCATATGACTTTGACCAAATTGAACCTGGGACCCTTCAGTCCAGAGGCTGACATTCTATCCACTGAGTCAAACAGGCTAGCAGTGGTCGGCAAACTCATTAGTCAACAGAGCCAAATATCAACAGTACAACGATTGAAATTTCTTTTGAGAGCCAAATTTTTTAAACTTAAACTATATAGGTAGGTACATTGCTATTAACTTAATTAATTAGGGTACTCCTAAAGCTTAGGAAGAGCCACACTCAAGGGGCCAAAAAGCCGCATGTGGCTCGCGAGCGGCAGTTTGCTGACCACGGGTAGGGTGACCTTAGCATTTTCATATACAGATTTAGAAGTCAGTTTCTCATTTGGAGTCATTTACTTGCTAATTTCTTACCTGAGGGAGGCAGGATTTGTAAAGGTGAAATGTTTTTCACACTCGGTTTATGTTCTAATTCTTGATGATTAATTGCTAACTGGTGGTGATCTGGTGCGGTTCCACTTGAATGTGTAGTCTGATGAAAAAGGGCAATAGTACTAGAGGTTGTATCTTGCATAGAAGATTGTATCTGTTAAGACAAAGTTAAATAAAATTACCTTTCAGAGTTTTAACCACACACAAAATATAACTAAGACTATAGAAACATGAGGAAAAAATATAATTGAACACTATCTTTGAATATGAAATTATTTAAGTCACACAAATTCATAAGGTATAATTATTCCTATCTTACAAATGAGAAAACCAAGGTTTAGAAAGATTAAATATCTTCGCCATCATATACATAGCTTATACTAAGTAGTCAAAGCCTAAAATCGTAATTACTAGTACCCATAGACTTACATGTGCTACTTATTTTTAAGTGCTTTCCTGTGATCTACTGAAAATAAAAACCTAGCCTTTATATCAAATCTAGAGACAAATTCTCTTTTGCCCCTTTTTCTTTACTGAATTATAGACATAAAGGGAGAGGTGGTTAAAATCACATGATGGTTGACCCATACGACTATCAACAAATTCTGATTCAGTACTCAGTTAAAAAGCTGTATTATAATAGCTAACATTTAATGATTATGCTGTGAAAGGCACTAGGCAAAGCCCTTATTCCACCTACTGTGTGCATATGGGAACACCAAGGCTGCCCTCTATATTTCGACTCACAAGACTAAGCCAAAAATTCTATAAATTTGTTCTACTTATTTGTTTGACTTATATAATAGTTATATTTAATTAGAAAAATGTAGCCTAATACTTTCTCTATTCAATCTTCTTTCGTAAGAAATCTTTGAACCTCTGACAAACTGAATAGAGTGACAAGTCTTCATGTAAATCAAACAACCAATTGCAAAGAAAGCTACTACTATCTAGTGAGTTATAACATACATAATTTTAAAATTCTAAGGTAAAAATGGAGAATTAACTTACCTTTACTTTCTCTTTAGAAGGAGATCCATTCTGTTTCACTTCAGTAAATTTAGGTAACATTTCTACAAAAGAAATGTTTACAAGCTTAAAATTACTTCTAAATTACAATTATTTTCATATTAGAAATAAAATGGTGAAATGCCTTAAGTCCAACCTCTTAAATCAAGAGGTTCTTATACTCTCCAGGATTTTGCCCTCTTTGAATCCATCAAAATTTCTAAAGGCATACTTGCTTTTAAAAGGGACATTTCTTTCCCACTTAATGGACTACATATCCACTCACAAATTTCAATTTGTATTATTTAAGCAAAAAAGAACAGTTACTTCACAGTTAGGAGATCAAATCAGTGATATTTTAAAAAAGGAACAAGTCACAAAAGAGAAGTTTTAATTAAAGAAGCAGTACCAATTCTACTAAAATCATCATTTACCAAGTAGCTACTAAGAGTTTAATTAAAACAAGAATTTACTATAAGACAAGGGTATGTTATTTATCTGAAAGGATACAGTATTTTATTAAAAGCGAAGCTATTTGATTTCATGGTAAAGTCTGCTCTGCTTGCTGAGCATTATAATAAAGGTCCCATCTGATTAGTACTCTAGTTACATCTAACTATTTGTCAGCCTCAACTATATGGCACCAAAGGGGTTTTATAATAAGTCATTTAACTTTTACAAATACCTTTACAGCTGACACTGGCAGTAGAGTAGGTATAAAAAGAGATCTCTGATATGGTGCTCATAGGTTCCTCTTTCTTTATTTAAAACTAGAAGCCCAGTGCACAGATTTGTGCACAGGTGGGGTCCCTCGGCCTGGCCTGTGGACATCCCCCAAGGGGTCCTGGATTAAGAGAGGGTGAAGACCAGGCCGAGGTACCCCACTGGTGCACGACCGATCAGGGCCAGAGAGGGACTATGGGAGGGCTCCAGGGTGTGTCCAGCCTGTCTTGCCCAGTCCTGATTGGCCAGACCCCAGCAGCAAGCTAACCTACTGGTCGGGGCTCCTGTCCCTCCGGTGGTCAGTGCACATCAAGCAACTGGTCGAACGGTCAAACGGTTGGAGGGACAATTAGCATATTAGGCATATATATATATATATATATATTCTGGTGCTATTTTCCCCAATTGCAAGTGTAGGTCAGTGTGGTAAAGCTCCAACTGGTTGCCTCCTGCTTGAGCCCCAACCAGGGTCCGGGCCGGCCCGGAGCCTGCAACTGAGGTACATGCCCTTGACCAGAATTGAACCTGGGACCCTTCAGTTCACAGGATGAGGCTCTATCCACTGAACCAAACCAGCTAGGGCTACATTTTAATTTTAATAATTATCTTCTGCCTCCTGAGATGTCATCAATTTCCATTGGATATGTTACTGTTCTTTGCTTTCCTAAAATGTTTGTTGCTTGACATTGTTAAAATTGCTAAATGCCACTCAATAGTGTGTTTTTTCCCCTTAGTTATTGAAATAAAGTTTATTGAATGAACCCCAATTAAGTACAAAATAGGGTAAAATTGTAAAGAAATATGAACTTAAAATTAGCAATTGCCTATATAAAAAGATATATTAGTTAATAAACTCTCTTAGGGGAATAAAATGTACTCACAGCTTATGTTAGAAAAGTGTGTAAATGACTAATACCTATAATGGTTGATAGTCTGCTTTAAAAGTTCAGTGGACAAAAGGAATATTCTCAGGGAAGTTCACTGTTTTTATGTCTGAAAAGCTGGAAGGCCTTCTCTTTGAGTGATGGGTACATTCTCTTTTGTTCTCCAAAAGCATAATCATCCAGACTGATCTGGCATCATTGACATTAGTGGCTGTGTCACTGTTGAAAGCCTGAGGCCAGCAATAGATGTTAATATATTAAAAGCCAAGCATACTTTGAAAGAGTGTGGTGGGCCCTTGAAGTGTGAACACTGTGAATACTCTAGGCAGCTGAGCAAAATCCGCAAAGAAAACAGAAATGGCTTTATTTTTTACATAATCTATAAAAGGCCAATTGTGCTGCTCAAGTGAATCAAAATGATTATAGGTGACTTATGATGCAGGGATGTTGTGAGTGTGTGTATAAGCAAGCAAAATCTTTCTCTTTCCAAGAAGATATCTCTATATTCACTTAACACGAGACCTCCAATTTCCTCAACTTGCAATCCAATTGGGAAGGTTCTCTTTTCCCATGTGTCCCCAGACATAGGCAAGGCCTGAAGGATAGTGATGCAGGCAGGGGGGTCTGTGGCCCGGTGTGTGGTTGCTGTTTATAGTTCTGAAGTACTTTCTGTGTTTGAGTTGGCAAAAAATGTGCTTTAATTTAAAAGACTCAAGTATTTTCAATTATATGAACCCTATCAATGTCATTCTACTAAGTATCATTTAAGTGTTGGGGGGTTAGGTGGGAGGAGAAAGGAAGAAGATAGACTACAAAGACCAAAGATATAGATCCAGGTAGCTTTTACATTTTGTGGAGAAATTATCGTTTCACCTTTGAACAAAACCAGACTTCATTAATATAATTATAATATATGCAATCTATACATCTGTCTTAATTATTCAAATATGTACCTGCCCTACATTATTCTATGATATAAACTCTTAAGTATAATAAAAATATGACATACCATGTTAGTACTCTGCTAAAAATTTAAGGGTATCATCTTGGTTTTCTGACATATAAAACTAAAGCTCTGAATTATTATACAAATTAGCACCTTGAAATCTGAAGACACTAGCAAAAGGCATCAAAGAATTTCAATTTTAAAAAATCAAAGCCAGACTCACTCTTCTTTGAGTACACTTGTGCCTTTTTCTCAGGTGCATATCTTTGTTTCCTCTATCCTAAACGCTAAGAGTTCCAACAAGGTTTGCAACCAGGGGAGCAGCTGGCAGCAGCAGCAGCTCATCCTAGGCTTCTCCCCATTTCCCCACATCCTGTATCCAAGGGCCCTTCCTTTGCCTCACTATCCTGAGCTTCAATAAACTTACTTTTACTTTAAAATAATCAAAGCTACCTAATATAGTATGTCTTTAAGTCTTACAGACTATAGATAGATGAAAATAATAGTCTATACTCAGCATTTTGCTTCTCATTCTACACTCGAATCATTGATCGCAGTGGAGTGGCAGTGAGCCTACCAGGCAGCAGCAGGTGTAGTGGGGCCAGGATGAGCAGGAGTGGCTCAGCGCACTACTGCCTCAGCTTCGCACACTACTACATCCCTCGGGGATGTTGGACTGCCGGTTTCTGCCCGATCCCTCAGGCCAGGCCGAGGGACCCCACTGGTGCATGAATTCATGTACTGGGCCTCTAGTATTGTAATAAAGATGCCAACTCTTAATACAGGATAGCCATAAGAACCTTGAGTCTGATGAACAAATTTGTAAGAAATTGTGACTTGACTAAGAAAACTGCATAAAATCAAATTGCTATAAAAATCCAGGACAGGTATTAAAAAACAGATTAATAAAAAATTCATAAAGATCAATATATTTCTATCAGAAAATAATTTTTACAGATTTCAGAAAAGTTTCCTCTAATAAAATTTTGAAGAAATGAAATTATATTCATATCTCTTATCATGAATAATCAAAAGGCCTTCTTACCTAGAGTGCAGGGAAGCAAGATATTCATAGTCATAATAAATTTTAAAGCCACACAATCTTGGCATGCTCTCCCTCTTGGGAGCAAACCTGTGCCTTTCCCTCAAACACATTACCTCTGCCTTTCCCTCTCTTAAGCTCCAAGGGCCCTTCTTTTGCTTCTGAAATTTGTTTCCTGAGCCTGCCCAGTCCACCTGGCTCACTTCTACTACCTCTCTAACTTTCTATATAAACTTTCTCTTATAATTTGGGGAAAAAAGCTACAAAATCTTATATGTATTTTCAGTTAATTTTTAAGCATGTTAATGAAGTTTTTGCTCATATGCCTCGTTTTCAAAAATTATATTTTTTCAGTGAATAGACCTATTTCCTCCCACCTTTAAACTCAGACTTGGGATTTGTTTACTCCCTGAAAATGTCATGTGCATAATTAAGAATGGTAGATGAGTAACTTATTTTTACAATAGTTATTGTCATTGATAACTAATGATTACTTTTCATAATTTACAATCCATTTATATATTTTTATTGTTCTCAGGAGAAGTAAAAATGTTCTTATCTCACACACTAGAAATTAGGAGTCTTACAGTATTTTAATGGGCACAACTGAAGTTAATATGTAGAACAAAAGGTCTTATTGCTTTCACTTACTAATTTATTAAGCAAAAATATAATTATTTTTCAATGAAGTATACAGTCTGAATATTCATAAAATATAAATTTCAAAGGTAAATGATAACTCATACTATCATGTTAAAAGACAAACTGGCCCTAACCAGTTTGGCTCAGTGGATAGAGCGTCAGCCTGTGGACTGAAGGGTCCCAGGTTCGATTCCAGTCAAGGGCATGTACCTTGGTTGCGGGCACATCCCCAGTAGGGGGCGTGCAGGAGGCAGCTGATCGATGTTTCTCTCTCATCGATGTTTCTAACTCTCTATCCCTCTCCCTTCCTCTCTGTAAAAAATCAATAAAATATATATATTTTAAAAAGACAAACTGTCCTTTGTGTCACAAACCTATATACTATTATAATGTGGAATGAAGTATAAAACTTTTGCTACTTTAAATATATAGTTTTAATTTTATATACATAATTATAATTGATTTTAGAGAGAGGAAAGGAGGGGGGAGAGAAACATTGATTGGTTGCCCCCTGCTTGCACCCCCATAGGGAATCAAACCCACAACCTGGTTATATGCCATAACTGGAAATTGAACCTGCCACCTTTCAGTGTATGGAAAAATGCTCCAAAATCCAACTGAGGCACACTAGCCAGGGCTGCTAATTGGATTTTTTAAATAATGATTTTTAAAAATAGTTCCTGCTTTTTGAAAAAGATGACATTAAATAATAATGTCATAAAATAAGAATTTTAAAATTAGAATTCTGAGGCCAAGTTATTCTGCTAGAAAGTTTGAAAAACATAATATTATACCAGAGGGAATAGGGGTTGAGAAGATAGTAAGGGATAAAAGGAGTCAAATATATAGTGATGAAAGAAGATTTGACTTTGAGTGGTAGGCACACAATTTAATATACAGATGACGAATCATAGAATTGTACACTTGAATGTATATAATTTTATTAACTAGTCACTCCAATAAACTTAAATATATATATAACGCCCGGCTGGTGTGGCTTAGCTGTTGAGTGTCAACCCATGAACCAGAAGGTCACGGTTCAATTCCCTGTCAGGGAACATGCACAGGTTTCAGGCTCAATCCCCATCACGAGGCATGTAGGAGGCAGGCGATCAATGATTCTCTCTCATCACTGATGTTTCTATCTCTCTCCTCTCTCTAAAATCATAAAAATATAATATATATGTTATATATATATATAAACAATGGCAACAAAAAATACAACATTTTAAGAACACATAGTGGATGAAAAACATTTTCTTTCCTTCATGCAATATTTTGGAAGATTCTATCAGAAACTGATAATTAAAATTAAAATTGAGGTACTCTGTTAAAGCATTCTGTATATAGTACTTTTCCTCTAATACGCAAGGAATTTACGGAAAAGAAGTCAATATGTAATTAGATAATTCAAACTAACAGTTCCAATATGAGTTCTATCCTACAAATAAAAGACAAAGTGCTCTAACTTATTAGGCCAAAAATGCTTTATTAAATGGAATTACAAATGCTATTACAATTTAAGACTCTAAATGCAACTTAAGAGTTTTCCCAGCATTGTTTTATGCTTAAAAGTAAAATAATATATAAGAACCCTAAATTAAATTTTTTCTGGCATGACAAATTCCAACAAAATTATAAGTTCTGTTTATTCTAACAAAAATATTTAACACTGTGTACTTTAGAAATGTAAAAACAAAATACAGCAATCAGCACCACATAAATACTAACTAAACAGAAGCAAAAGTGAAAACAGAATGCAGTGCACGCCAGCAAATCCTTACTGCCAGATTGAAATAAGAAGGATATTCTAATAGCTTGTAGGAATACCTGATGTGCCAATATTCTATGTTGGACGTTTGTTTTTTGTTTTTTAAAAAAAGATCTGAATTTTATGACAAACATACATCTCATTTTAAAATAAAGCAAAATTTTAGCACCAAAGTGTTCTGTATTCTGAATTTGCCTTTGGTGAACAATGATGAATGCTACTACCACTTCGTTCCTTGGGTCAGAGGTTACTTGTCAGCTATATAACCATCAATGAAAGTGCACGAAGAAAACAGGCATGAGTTAAGTTTGATACAGCTGACAATAAACTGTACAAGGTAATGTGGTACTTTAGCATAAGTGAGAGTGAATTTAAAGTATAATTTTTTATAAATGAAAGATCATCTTCTATGGTGAAGACAATATAGAAGTGAAAAAACCTGTTTTACAGTTTCTAGGATGACTGGTTTCTTAATTCAAAATGATTATTTGAATCAGAATATATTGTCACAATAGGACATGCTTTGCAACATTAGAGTGATCTGATATGAAAAATGTCCTCAACCTTTTATCTTAGAAACAGAAGACCAGCATTTTGTTATTTGATAGTTTCTGGTATTAAGATTTGATCTGGTATTATGTACTAAGAGGCTATCCCACCTTTAGTAAAATTATTTTCAATATTACAAGCCTATAAGCCACATACATATAATATGTTTATTTTACACAGTACCTCTTAAAGAAAATAGTGATGTCATCAAACATGGGATTAAATAGTAAGTGTGGCATCCAAGCCATACTTTCTGGGTAAGTAACAAACATTTCAAAAATTTTCCCACAACCAGAGGTGCACTTAAGGGGATAGCTAACCTGATTCGGAATCACTGCTGTCTGAAGTAACTGAATCACTGCTACTACTTTCAGACTCCGACGAACTGCTGCTGCTGTCACTCAATCGGGAACCAATTCCAACAACAGCTGTGGATGATGGCGTTTTCTCAGCTACAAAATAGGGAAACACACTGAAATGCCAGTAGGTGTCCCCATAAAATGTATACACACTTTAATAGCTAATAGCTCAATTTTGAAAATGAAATGTATTTTAATAAACAGTGCCTATATAATTATTCAAAGTGTGTATAGACATTTTTGGGGGAAACCCCATAGTCACAGGAACATTTGAAAATGACCACCTACATTTTGTTTGGCATTTTCTGGAATTTAACTGATTATTGACATCTAGTAATCGCTTTTCCAACTGCTGTTTTTTCTGTGCATGAAGTTCTTCATTTGACTTCATTATTTTCTTACCTGTGTGATTTAGGACAAAAGTAAAAGAGTGAGCAAACTTAAAAGTAGTGAACATCAGAATGGTATCTACTCATATATAGAAACTAGAGGCCTGGTGCACGAAAATTCATGCACTGGGAGGGGTCCCTCAGCCCAGCCTGCACGCTCTCACAGTCAGGGAGCCCTCAGGGGATGTCCCACTCCCCACGGCCGATCAGGGAAAGGCACTGCCCCCATCACCCCTCGCTGCTGCTGCCTCTGGCCTCCCTCTGCAGGAGGTGACCTGGTGATCAGGGGAAGGTGATGCCCCCATCATGCCTCTGCTGCTGCCACTGCCAGCCGTGTGGCTGCCTGAGCCTTGGCCCTTGCAGCCACCGCGGTTTTCCTGAGCCTCGGCCCAGCCCTCGTTGCCTGAGTCTCGGGCCCTGGGCAGCAGCAGCCACCATCCATAGCTTGCCTGAGCCTCGGGCTGGCCGTGGGCAGTGGCAGCCGCCATCTGCAGCTTGCCTGAGCCTCAGGCAGCTTTGTCTGGAAGGACGAAGCGTCAAGTCCCCACCCACCCACGTGCGCCTCGCCGAGCACATAGCTGTGCCGGCGGCACACACAGCCTCCTGCTGATAGGTCATTACAGCATGATGGTGTGATGAGCATTAGCATATTAGGTCTTTATTATATAGGATACCTACCATGAGGTTTTAGTGGTCTTTTTCTTAGACATGCAGCAACATATTTTTCTAGCTCTCTTAGTGTTGTTGTTTTCAGTGTTTCAAAATCTATCTCTATATCCTCATGGTTAGAATTTCTCAGTGAAGGTTCTCTTGAATGTATTATATGAAGGACTTTTCCAAGTTTATCTCCAGGGAGTTTGTTTATATCCAAACTTAACCGCCTTTTCTCATCATGGCTCATAGGTTTAGCATTATCTTCATCCTCAGATTCCAGAGCCAACACTTGTTGTTGCCTCTTCTTTGGCTCACTGCAACAAAAATTAAATTTAGTCAAATCTATTTTACAATATATGAAAGCCTAAGTGACTGTTATGACTGAATGACCGGTAGACTAGTTGCTATGATGCTCACTGACCACCAGGGTGCAGGAGCTGCCCCCTGGTGATCAGTGTGCTCCCACAGCCAACCTCTTGCGGCCGTACAACCTCCTGCGGTCCCTCCCCCCAGTCGGCTGGCCCTGATCTGCCCCGATAGAGGCCAGCTGGCCAACCTCCCACAGTCCCCCCCGGCTCCCCCCCAGCAAGCCGGCCAACCTCCCGCAGTCCCTCTCCTTGTCTCTCCCCCTAGATGGCAGGCCCCAATCGGCCTGGCCCTGATCGGGACTGGGCAAGATGGCCCTGATCGGCCCTGATCACCAGTGAGGCCTAGGGACCCCACCGGTGCACGAATTCGTGCACTGGGACTCAAGTTTTACATAATATTCTTTTAATAAAGCATCATAAAAGATACTTACTTGCTCTTAGATTTCTCCTTTATTTTCATTTGCTTAAACTTCTTTCTTGGATTTTCATCTGTGTTATTAACCTTTCCTTTTTTCTTTTCCCGTTTAGATTTGTCTTTTTTTTTTAGCTTATGGTGTGGTACTTGGGATAGAACCTGCAGTTGATCATGAACAGCTTTAATCTGATAAAGGAAAAATTAGATAATAATTAAATAATTAAAGACACTAGAATAAAATGATGCACTCAAAAGTCAAGAGTATCCTTCACATTATATTTTAGATTCATTTAATAACTTTTCTCTTGAGTTTGAATTTCATTTTATGAATTCATTATATTGAAGGGTATATATTAAATTACAAACACTATCTATCATGTGCTCACCCCATAAGCTTAAATATTCATCTAAACGAGACCTAGAATAATTAGCATTTCAGGTAGTCTTAAGTTTTTAATAATTGATTTTTCAGGCTTTAGCTTAGAGCAGCTTAACATTTTATCATAAAAAGGTAGCAAATATTAAAGATATCATCCATAAAATATCTCTGATTATGATATATAAATCATTTCAAAGCAAATTAGCTCATTGTGGTTAAAAATATAAATAGCCCTGGCCATTTTGGCTAACTGGATAGTGTCAACCCGCAGACTGAAGGGTCCTGGGTTTGATTCCTAGTCAGGGCACATGCCTGGGTTGTGGGCTCAATCCCCAGTAAGGGGCTGTATAGGAGGTAGCCGATCAATGGCTCTCATCATTGATGTTTCTCTCTCTCTCTCTCTCTCTCTCTCTCTCTCTCTCTCTCTCTCTCCCCATCTCTGAAATCAATAAAAATATATTTTAAAAAGTAAAATAAAATAAAAATATAAATAACAAGATTTTAAGATATATTTTAGTAGGAAAGAATATTAAACATTATAAACGTGTCAATAGGTAAATAGAGCTACAGTTGCTAAGTGATGTAGATATAACAGCTTTTAATCTACACAAAGAATTTTATAATAGACTAGAGGCCTGGTGCACGAATTCATGCACTGGTGGGGTCCCTTGGCCTAGTCGGCAATTGGGGCCGATTGGGGCTGGCCAGCCTGGGCAGGACCGCGGGAGGGCTCCAGGGCATGTCCAGCCTGTCTCGCCCAGTCCCCCAGCAGCAAGCTAACTTACCCATCGGAATGCCTGCCCCCTAGTGGTCAGTATGTGTCATAGTGACTGGTAGAATGATCAAACGAATGGAAGAATGAGCAGTCAGACATTTAGCATATTACGCTTTTAGTATATAGGATCAGCAGCAACAGCTCATATAAATACAAAAACTTGTATCAATACACTTAGCTACCTGCTTCTTAAGCTTTGCAATACACTGAACTTCGTCATCTTCAGAATCATCAGAAGAGTTATCTTCAGAGGAAGTTTCAGTACTGCTTTCTCTACCAAGGGACTTTGTGGTATCTGTTTTGATATTATATACAGGCTTACTCTCAACAGGTTCATCTGGGATCTTTGCAAAATGCATTTCAAAAACATCCTATAATGGAAAATCAGACTGTTAAGGTTTTCTGTATTTTTTATTTAATGCAGCACTGTCCCCTTTTAACAAAAGCTACATTTTGGTGTCATATTTTTATAACAGTTCTGGTTTTCCTTGTGGTCATCATTTTGTAATATATACATTTATCAGGTCATTATGTGTAAAACTTAAAACATATACAGTGTTACATGCCAATTATATCTCTATAAAACTAGATCACAATTATCAAAAGAAGAAATATAAGACTCATGCTTACCCTCCAGCCAACCGTAGCAACATTTCTCACTTTTTTCAGGTAACGCAGACCAAGTAATATTGAGAATCTTCTTTCACAGATCTCCTGCCCTGTGGTTGGCAGTCTACTACCTCCCAATAGTTCAGCCTCAAAAGTCCTTAGGTCTTTCCTTTAGTGGGACATGGGCTCCAGTCAACCCTATCTGAGATATCTACTGTCCCTGTTTCACTAATATTTTCCCCAATATTCTCTATATGGTGAGCACTTTGTTAAAAGATTTGCTACTCGCTGAAACAGGTTTTGCTCAGTGGATAGAGCGTCGGCCTGCGGACTGAAAGGTCCCAGGTTCAATTCCGGTCAAGGGCATGTACCTGGGTTGCAGGCACATCCCCAGTAGGAGATGTGCAGGAGGCGGCTGATCGATGTTTCTAACTCTCTATCTCTCTCCCTTCCTCTCTGTAAAAAATCAATAAAATATATTAAAAAAATAAATAAAAGATTTGCTACTAAAGGATGCTATACCTCAAGAAACAAACCATCCCACCAATTTAAAAATTGTATTTTACTACTTGGGTGTTATTCTTTATCTCTTGAGTTATGGTTCTAAAATTTCTAAACTATATTCAGAGGAAATTCACTTTCAGAGCACAGGTAACAACTTACCTGGAGCATTCTTGCCATTGTCACTACTTCATGATCTGGAGGATTGTATCTGTAGCAATTCATGAACATTAATCTAACATCTGCAGCAAATTCATATGCATCCTTATATTCTTGGTTGTCCATTTTTCTCTAAATAAATTAAAAATTACAGAATTCACAAACATAGCCAATAATTATTTGACCACCTATATTAAGTGTTTAGAGATAAGAAAGGAGGGCATTCCAAGTAAAAAAAAAAAAAAAGAATAGGAATAAAATCACAACAGCAGGAAAACAAGATGTTTTCAGATAATCTTGGATAGACAAGTTTGAACATAGAAAAGCAGTGAAAAGGGCACCTACATCTAAGATGTATATTATAATTGTCCAAGGAATGAAGACATTTAAAAGTGAACAGAAAAGAAATTATCAGCAAGGGTTACATTTTTAGGTAGCTGCATATTAAGTATATAGAACAGCAGTTCTCAACCTGTGGGTCGAGACCCATTTGGGGGTCGAACGACCCTTTCACAGGGGTCACACAACCCTTTCACAGGGGTCGCCTAAGACCATCGGAAGACACATATATAATTACATATTGTTTTTGTGATTAATCACTATGCTTTAATTATGTTCAATTTGTAACAATGAAAATACATCCTGCATATCAGATATTTACATTACGATTCATAACAGTAGCAAAATTACAGATATGAAGTAGCAACGAAAATAATTTTATGGTTGGGGGTCACCACAACATGAGGAACTGTATTAAAGGGTCGCGGCATTAGGAAGGTTGAGAACCACTGATATAGAAGAGTGAGGATGTAGAGTAGCCAGTTAGGTAGACACTATAAAATAAAAACTACCAACAGACAAGTAAATCCTTTAGACTGCTGGGCAAAACGTGTGTATTAATGAACAATTCATAAACAAATACAAAAGGCCAATAAACAAATGTAACATGCCAGACCTCATTTGTAATTGAAGAAATGCAAAACAAAAGCTTGAAACAATTTTCTACCCATCAGATCACTGGAGATTTGAATGTGCTCTGATTGGGATCAGGGAATTTAACTCCCTACCTTTTGGTGTACAGGACGACTATAGCCAACTGAGCCATAGTGTCTGAAGCTAAAAAATTACTTAAAAAAAAAAAGAATAAAGACAAAATATAGACACCTAAGCCCTCATGGAAGAGCCACATGTTTGCACTTTTGTGAAAAGGAAAAAAAACAGAGGAAAAAGTAAGATGAAAAAAATGATGGTAAACACAAAATTTAGTAACAGGTTAATAAACTTAAAGTTGATGATACAATAAAATAAAACTGTGTGTTAAATAAAAACCAGACTTCCAGACCAGTGATTTTGCAGCCAATGTTCGGTGGCACACTGGTGTGCCACAAGAATTTTTAAAACATACAATACCCAATTACTTATCAGGGGCACTGACCTCCTTTCCTTTAGATTGTCAAGTTAAAAAATGACAACAGCTAACAGAAGAATAGCCATTGGTGTGAATGAATAAAACTCATACCTATTTTTCTTTTGTGAGACTGGCAAAAAATATAGGGCTTTTTTTGTGAGCTACAGAATTTTAGTAATTAGTTTGTGTGTGCCATGAGATGAAAAAGGTTAAAAATCTCTGTTCCAGACAATAAATAAGGAGTACAATGAGTACAATTTATCAGGAAGATAGATAACAATTCTGTAAATGCTATAGTTGTATTCTTTTAGTAATTTCCCTTAAAATTAACATACATAATTAAATTTTGCCAATAATTTAAAGCTTCAAAATCAGCAAGAAAACACCATGCAGAAAGGGTTATAAACTACATAAAAATGTTTTGCATTAGAATTATGAATTAAAAATATTTTTCTTTTGTGAGATTGGCAAAAAATATAGGGCATTTTTTGGTGGCTCAGTTGGTTAGAGCATTGTCCTGTACACTGAAAGGTATGTGCTGATCAGGGCACATACCTAAGTTTTGGATTCAATCCCTAGTTGAGACGTACTCATGCAAATCAACCAATCAATTTTTTATCCTCTCTCTCTCTCAAATAAACATATTCTCAGGTGAGGAAAAAAATTATTGAATATATAATGAGATAATGTTCACAATATAGTAAATAAAAATTCAGGGTACAGTTATATACTGTAACTCAAATATTATAGGAAAGAACCATAGATATGTTTGATTAGAAGAAAATAAAAAAATATACTGTTAAATGTTCCCATGATTCACACCAGGTGGTGAGACTACTAATGATTGAAATTTTCTTCTTTATCATTTTCTGAATTTAAAATTTCTTTACAAGGACACAATGACTTTTATAATCAGGAAAAGAAGTCCCTCCTATTAAGACATTTACCTTGATAGTTCCAAGATCCATTGGATTTTTCACAATGTCATAGTAGTTATGGAGTCCCAATGCATTAACATCAACAGGATTATAAAAGGGCCATGCATATGAAAAGTGCTTCTTTGCAAACAGTTCTTTCAGAATCTCACTACAGTGCCTTAATGGTTCAGTTACTTTGACTTTATATTGTTGCTGAGAATTCAGCAAAACATTCTTCCCCCCACTCTCTTTTACGGGTGGCATTTTGGCTGTTTTTTTTTCTGGAAGTGCTGGGGAAGGTCCACCACTTGCTTTAACTACTGAAGTTGTAGGAGTTGTTGTATCTGCTTTCCTCTTTACACCCTTTGTAACCTAAAACAAAACAATTCAACAATAAAACTATAAGATGACATTCAAAGCAACAATTTTCTTAAAAAAACAAAGGAAAGCATTATTAGCACCAAGTCTTCCACATATTACATATTAGTAAATGTTATTTTCTTTTTTATAGACAAAGTAATTTACACATTTTTCTTCCCACCCTGCAAGAATTCTCTTGTGTAAACCTTTGAGACCAATGAAAGATAGAAAGAAAAAGTTAGTTACACAAAAAGTTTTTGAATACCTGAAATCAGCTAGAGTGTATGAATTTTAAAAGAAACTTATTGACCCACCAAATTGTGAGTAAATAAGTTAGATCACACACACATATAAAAGAAACAACAAAGATTCTAAACCAGTTCAAATCCTACCTAAGAAATCTCCAGAGGAGAAACCAAGATGGCGGCATAGGTAAACACCCGAGATTGCTGCCTCGCACAACCACTTCAAAAATACAACTAAAAGACAAAAGAGACATCATCCAGAACCACAGGAAGGCTGGCTGAGTGGAAATTCTACAACTAGAAGGAAAGAGAAAAGCATACCGAGACTCAGAGGAGGTGCGGTGCGGAAGTAAAATACAGAGGTACAGAGGTGCATGCGGAGAGGGTTGGCGGCTGAGGACACGGTTGTCTTTTTCAATCGGTAGGGAGTCTCAGGCTCTGAGCTCCAGTTCCGGGCGAGTCTCTGGGGACCCAGACTCATACAGGAGAAACTGGACTGTCTGGCATCGGTCGGAACTCGAGGGCAGCTTTCTCTCGGGGGTGCTTGCAGCGATTGCAAGGACACTGAGAAGCAGGGCCTCTGAGAGCAGGACTGAGAGCAGCCATAACTGCTCGCTCTGCCCTGTTGATCCCCTGGGACCCCGCCCCACCCATGCCACGGAGGCTTTTGCATATGAAAGGCCTGGCCCTTTGCAATCTGAAAATTACCTAACAAACTGCAGCTGCCCCAAGGCCCCGGGGAAACTTGCAGTGTGTCACAGCTGGCTCCTGCTGGATAGCCTCAGGCAGAGGCTATATTAGCACCTCCTTAGAGATCCAAGAGCCAGTGTACCCAGTGGTCAGAGTGGGACCATCCAGATTGCAGCTCCTCGGATTCATAAAGGACACACTCAGGGGGCAGACTCAGTGAGCACCAAAGCCCCACTGAAGCAAGTCTTGCCCCAGAAGGGTGTCTCCAGCACAGAAGTTCTCCCACTGCAGACACAGCTGATTCTCACAGCCATTTGGCCTGGAGGTCAATCCCTCCCAGTGTTATCTACACCAATCAAGGCTTAACTACAAGAAGACTGTGCACACAGCCCACAAAGGGGTGCACCAAGAGTGTCCACCTCAGGTAATTTGGGAGGCTGAGCCACTGGGCCCTATAGGACACCCAGTACAGAAAGCCACTCTATCAACACAGCCAAGCATAAAAAAATGTGGAGACAAAGAAACAGGACACAAATGACAGAAATGGAGGAAAGCAAACTTCAGGATATAGAGTTCAAAACCACACTTATAAGGTTTTTCAAGAATTTTCTAGAAACCGCCAATAAATTTAGTGAGACCCTCGAGGATATGAAAAAGGACCAACTAGAAATTAAGCATACACTGACTGAAATAAAGAATATTATACAGACTCCCAACAGCAGACCAGAGGATCGCAAGAATCAAGTCAAAGATTTGAAATATGAAGAAGCAAAAAACACCCAACCGGAAAAGCAAAAGGAAAAAAGAATCCAAAAATACGAAGATAGTGTAAGGAGCCTTTGGGACAGCTTCAAGCGTACCAACATCCGAATTATAGGGGTGCCAGAAGAAGAAAGACAGCAAGATATTGAAAACCTATTTGAAGAAATCATGACAGAAAACTTCCCCTACCTGGTGAAAGAAATAGACTTCCAAGTCCAGGAAGCACAGAGAATCCCAAACAAAAGGAATCCAAAGAGGACCACACCAAGACACATCATAATTAAAATGCCAAGAGCAAAAGACAAAGAGAGAATTTTAAAAGCAGCAAGAGAAAGACAGTCAGTTACCTACAAGGGAGTACCCATACGACTGTCAGCTGATTTCTCAACAGAAACTTTGCAGGCCAGAAGGGAGTGGCAAGAATTATTCAAAGTGATGAATGCCAAGAACCTACAACCAAGATTACTTTATCCAGCAAAGCTATCATTCAGAATTGAAGGTCACATAAAGAGCTTCACAGATAAGAAAAAGCTAAAGGAGTTCATCACCACCAAACCAGTATTATATGAAATGCTGAAAGGTATCCTTTAAGAAGAGGAAGAAGAAGAAAAAGGTAAAGATACAAATTATGAACAACAAATACACATCTATCAACAAGTGAATCTAAAAATCAAGTGAACAAATAATTTGATGAACAGTATGAACTGGTGATTGTAATAGAATCAGGGACATAGAAAGGGAATGGACTGACTATTCTTGGGGGGGGGAAAGGGGTGTGGGGGGTGTGGGAAGAGACTGGACAAAAATCGTACACCTATGGATGAGGACAGTGGGGGGGGTGACGGCGGGGGGTGGGGGGGGAAATGGGTGGAGGGGAGCTATGGGGGAAAAAGAGGAACAACTTTTTGTTGTAATAATCTGAACAATAAAGATTTAATTAAAAAAATAAAAATTAAAAAAAAAAGAAGGAAATCTCCAAAATTTGGTTCACATATAAGTTTCTGTTCATAACATGTATACAGACCACTGTAAGATTGACCACTATAAAGTAAAGGCCAATTTTCATATTAACTTTTTTAAAGTATAGACATCTCAACAATCAAACTTACACTCAACTATTTTAAAGTTGCAGTAAACTTGCCTGGGCCACTGTTTGTGAGGTAGAGTTGGGTGGAGCACCTTGTGCCATATTTAAAGGAGAAGTAGATGATTCAGGAAATACAGAGGGACTCACTTGCGGCTTAAATACTTTTTCTGATCCTTTAGGAGACTGTTTTTCTTTAACAGAAGAAACTGCTACATTCTGTTGAGTGCCTGGTAAAGTGTGAATGAATATTTGAGTAAAATACAAAGCTAAGATATTTTTCTTAGTATTTTACATTAATCCATTTAATTCAACTTTTTAGCAATATAAACATGGCACATTCCCACTCCTCCTTTAAACCCTCCCACACACACCTGTTGAATAGTGTTAGGCCAATTTAGATTTAGCAAAGACATCAAAACCTGTTGTTAATGGTAGGCTTATCAATTTTACTCAAAAAGATGTGTAACATCAACTCAGACTAACAGACAGGTGGTAGTAAACATAAGCAAAACTTTCCGACATCTTGGACACATGTGTGCGCGCGCACACACACACACACACACACTCATATATATGAAAGAGAAAGAGAACATAAACTTCTGGCTTACCTTTCTTTATTCTTTCCTTACCACCCACAACTTGCTCTTCTTTTGGCATCTGTAATAATTTCTGTTTAAATAAATTCTCTAGAGCTTGTGCCATAAGAACAATGTCATCTCCAGGCTACACAATATATAAAATATGCCATAACGTTACACAGTATGGTCACTGTACCAAGTACTTCTTAATCGTACTTAAATCCATTGTTTTTTTTTTAATATAATGGTATATTAATCCAATGGTTTTCAAGAAGATATTACAAATATTAGTACCAAGTTTCTATAAATCAGGCTATCTTATAGAAGGTAGTAACATAGCACTTTTCATCTATCACTTCTAAATTAAGTTTAGAAAAAAGTGTAGCAGCTCATTTTAAATTCTAACATCCTACCCCTTTAACTTCTAAAAAGGACCCAAGATGCCTTTTGAGCATTAGAGTTACAACTCAACCAACCCCACTAATATGAAAAATATTAGAAATTAAAATTTCTACCTCACAAATAGGTTACAAAACTTATTCATGGCTATGCAAATTACTTGACTTGTCCCAATTCAGTTTTCAGTTAACTAAACAATAAAATGACAGTATTGAACTCAATTTTTAAATCGTAACTACTTTGCTTTGCTTTACTTCACTATTGAGGGGAGGAAAAAAAAACAACCCCTCAAATAAATTACAAAGCAAAAGTCTAAAGCCGAGAACACTTATTTCTAAGTTAGGGAGCTCAGGAGAATTACTGAACTTTATTTTTAAAGTAGAGGCCCGGTGCATGAAAATTCATGCACTGGAGGGGGGTCCCTCAGCCTGGCCTGCCCCCTCTCACAGTCCAGGAGCCCTCAGGGGCGGGAGGTGACCCCGTGACCAGAGGAAGGCGACGCCCCATCACACCTCTGCTGCTGCCACTGCCGGCAGCACAAGCCTCAGCTGGCCCTGGTTACCTGAACCTCAGGAGAATTACTGAACTTTATTTTTTAATGTTCAATATTTAATTGTTAATTTAACAATATGGAATTGTTAAATTAAAACGAGGTTGCCAATGGTACTTTGAGAGTATCAGTGGTTCTGAATTAAAAAAAAATGATATTGGCTAATAGTCTTAAATCTTTTAAACATATAAAATGGCACTGATAATTACCTTGGGAAGCAAATAAAAACCTCTATTACCTTTCTGTATCACTAGTGATTCTGAATAAATGGGACATAAGTTTAAAATGATTAGATATCACAGAAGAGTTAGGAATCCAATTTCATGGATGTTCAAAATGACCACATATATTATCAAACAGGCTAATGCATTAACAGATGCAAATACTACTACTGGGATATAATAGAGAATGTGTCTGATCTTAAATTTGTCATGAAGTTTGTAATTTGTTTAGTTTCTTAGGTTATGGCCAGGGATTTACAACGTGAAAATCTAAACAAGATTAGTGTATAATGAGATTTATCATCTTATAACTAAAATGGCAGAAGTGCATTGGAGAATATTTTGAAATAATACTTTACCCACAGAAGCCAGCTATCATTGGTATGTCATTTTTAAAAGCATAATAAGTCATTATAGGTATTCAGGAAAAAATATAGCAAATAGATTGAACAAATATTGATAGGTGAAAATTAGGAAAACTAGTAAAAAAAAAAAATCATTATCCCTAAAAATACGTAAAATACCCCAAATCAAGACTTGATATTTGAAATCAGTTCACTTGTTTATATACATCTCCTATATGTAACAGCATAGAATTAGCAAGCATAAGGCTTACATACCTTGTTGTATAAATAACAATTCGAGAACATTGTTCTGAAGTCTTCTATGCATTCTGAAGCCTCCACATAATACTTATTTTCCAAGCGCTTCTTAATTGTACTTAAATCCATTGGGTTTTTGATAATGGTATAATAATCCTATAGTTTTCAAAAAGACATTACAAATGTTAGAATTAATGAATGAACTACAATTGGCACACAAAGAAATTTAAGGAATGCCATAACCTGTAAACCAAAACCATCAGTTAATAACAAACACAAGAATGTAAAAGTAGAATCATACTGGAAAATAAAAAGGGCATGAAGAAAAATAAATTAGTGTTATCAACTCTGAGAGATCCAGAGTATAATCCCAGTTCCATGACTTACTTTTATTTTACACACTAGAGGCCCAGTGCATGACATTTGTGCACTGGAAGGGGGTGTCCCTCAGCCTGGCCTGCACCCTCTCGTAAGTCCGGGACCCCTTGGGGGATGTCTGACTGCCAGCTTAGGCCCGCTCCCCCTGGGGGGTCCTTAGGTCTGCCTTGGAGGCGAGGGAGGCTCTCACCACCACCCCTGTGCTCGCCAGCTGTGAGCCTGGCTTCTGGTTGAGCAGCATTCCCCCTGTGGGAGAGCACTGACCACCAGGGGGCAGCTCCTGCATTGAGCGTCTGACCCGTGGTGGTCAGTGGGCATCATAGTGACCGGTTGTTCTGCCATTCGGTTGATTTGCATATTAGCCTTTTATTATATAGGATTACTTAGCCATTCTGTTATAAGATGGCTAAAAATTCCTAACGTACAACCTAAAGTTGAATTCTATTTGTGATGCAACAATCTGCCAGGAACTGTCAAGAGCAACATTCATGACAACCACATTAAAAAGTCAAGTGACGCCCTAGCTGTTTTGGCTTAGTGGATAAAGCATCAGCCTGCTCTATTGGTCCCCAGTTCAATTCCAGTCAAGGGCACATATCTCAGTTGCAGGCAACCAATCAATATGTTTCCCTCACATCAATGTTTCTCTCTGTCTTTCCCCTGCCCCTACCTACCACTCTCTCTAAAAATCAATAGAAAAATATCTTTGGATGAGAAGTAACAAAATAAAAGTCAAGTGACATAAGCTATGACAAGAAAGCATGTACACAAACTGTTAAAACAATAATTTCAACACCCAGAAAAATGAGCTTTGTTGTTTAGGAAAAAATACTCATTGGGGTATTCTTTAGTGGTGCTGAGTAAATCAGGTGCTTATTAAATATCTATCTATATATAAAAGGCTAATATGCAAAGTGTCCCCTTGGTATTTCAACTGGGATAAGTTCGATTGCTCGTATGACATGCGCTGACCACCAGGAGGTGATGCAGAACATGGCAGGTGATGGGGGTGGGGGTGGGGGTGCTGAGGGAAGGAGGAGGCGGGGAGGTGAGGAACCTGAGTGGCCCTGATTCCTGGCCAGGCCTAGGGATGGGCCTCTGGTATTTTATAATATTAAAGACTAGTTTATTTGTTTTAGAGATTTACACAGTTTCGTTTTAAAAAAACACACACTAATATATTATAAGACATACTTACGGGCAATTGTAGTTTCACAGCATCCACAGGCTGCAGAAAAGGCCAGGAAAAACTATGCTTCCATAAAGCCTTCAAGACAACTTTTTGTAGATACTGCAGTTGATTTGTCAATCTCCCATTTTTCTTAGTATTTATATACTCTGGTGGTGGAGGGTTAATAATAGCTATTTGTCTACTTGGCAGAGACATTCTTAATTGCTTCAAATTCTGATATTCTAATATCTACAAATACATGTTCTGAAAAACAAAACAAAGCTGAGTTATTTTCAAATGGTTCTATAGGAACTGAAAGTATTATTTAAGAATAACAGAAAATAAACAAATGGGACTACATCAAAATAAAAATCTTCTGTACAGCAAAAGAAACCATCAACAAAACAACAAGAAAGCCTACTATTGGGGAGAACATATTTAGCAATGATACATCTGATAAAGGGTTAATATCCAATATATATAGGGAACTCATGCAACTTAACAGACAATCCAATTAAAAAATGGGCTAAGTTCCTAAATAGTCACTTTTCCAAAGTGAACATACAGATGGCCTAGAGACATGGAAAAAACGCTCAAGTCACTGATCATCAGAGACATGCAAATTAAAACAATGAGGAATCACCTCACACCTGTCAAAATGGCTATCATCAACAAATGACAAGTGCTGGTGAGGATGTGGAGAAAAGGGAACCCTAGCAGTACACTGCTGGTGGGAATGTGAGACTGGTGCAACCATTACAGAAAACAGTATGGAGTTCCCTAAAAAAATTAAAGATGAAATTGCCATTTGACCCAGTGATCCTACTTCTAGGAATATATCCTAAGAAACCCGAAGCACCCAATCAGAAAGAATGTATGCACCCCTGTCATAGCAGCACAATTTACAATAGCTAAGATCCGGAAACAGCCCAAGAGCCTGTCAGTAGATGAGTGGATAAAAAAGCTGTGGTACATTTATACCATGGAGTACTATGCAGCAGTGAAAAAGAAGAATCTCTTGAGACAGCATGGAGGGACCTGGAGAGTATCATGCTAAGTAAAATAAGTCAGGCAGAGAAAGACAAGTATCACATGTTCTTACTCATATGTGGAAACTAAGTAACAAAATAAACTGATGAATGGAGTGGATCCAGAGATATGGAAACATGGAACAGAGTGCAGAATCTTGGAGGGAAGGAGAGGGTGGTGGGTGGGTGGGAGGGAGGTAATCTACCAAGGATCTTATATGCATATATGCATGGCCCATGGATGCAGACAATGGGGCAGTGAGGGCCTGGGGGGGAAAGGGGGATAGGGGAGGGCTGGAGTGGGTCAGATGGGGGGAAAATGGGACATATGTAATACTTTCAACAATAAAGATTTAAAATATAAAAATGAAATGGTTCTATAGGACTGAAAGTATATTCAAGAGTAACGGCTATTATACTTTAAAGCACATAATGCTTTTTAAAAACCAAATGACAAATGAATCCATTTTTAAACAAATACAAACCTTTTTCATATGATAAGTACTAGAAGTTGTTTCATTATGTATGTATGCCTTAGTTTTGGATGATTTAGGTTATTTCAATCTTTCACAGTATTTCTGTTTCTCTAAGACACAAATTGATGTCTTAGCAGGAAAAGTCTGCAAGTTTCTGGAAAAATAAAATAGCAGGTGAAGTTAAAAATAATATTCATATATAGTTACTCTACAATTATTAGTTCAATGAAGGGGAAATGGCAAAAATAAAGGATTTTCTGGCTAATTAAATAAAATGATTTATTTTAAAACAATTAGAAAAACATGTTAAAATGCTATTCTTTAGTGCATATTGCTACACCTAAAATAAAAGTTTAAAACTTCATGAGTATTTCAGAAAGACAGTATCTAATGTAACTAGTAAGCATTGTTACTTTACAGCTCAGAGAACGAAGGTATTACACCAAGTCTGTTAGCAAAATGAAAAGTACGGTTATCAAATAAAGTGTTTATTTTTAGAGATCAGTGTTACATTTAGCCAATATCTTCGTTTGCATTAATGTGGTGTTAATTCTCAATTTCTTTTTTATTGTGGTAAAATACGTATAACACAAAATTTACCATCTGAACCATTTTTAAGAGTACAGTACAGTAGTGTTAAATATATTCATATTTTTTGAGCAACTAATTTCCAGAACTGTATTATCTTATGAAACAAACTATACCTATTAAACAACTTCTTTCTTTGCCCTCCCCAACCCCTCGTAAACACATTCTATTTGCTGTTTCTATGAATTTGACTACTCCAGGTATCTCATGAGTGGAATCACAGCATTTATCTCTTTGTGACTGCCTTATCTTAGGATAATGCTCTCAAGCTTCAACTATATTGTAGCGTTATGTTAAAATGTTCTTCATTTTATAAAGTTCAATAACATTCCACTGTATGTTTGTACCATATTTTGCTTATCCTTTCATTGATGGACCCTTTGGCCCACCTCTTGCCTATTAAGAAGTGTTGTGAATATGGGTGCATATTTCTTCGGGACCTGCTTTTAGAAATGTGTAACTGGAATTTCTACATCATATGGTAATTCTATTTTTAATTTTTTTGAGGAATTGCAAAGTGTTTTCCTTAAGTGGCAGCATCATCTTACATTCCCAACATTCAACAGGGTTCCAGTTCCTCCTCATCTGAACATCATTTGTTATTTTCTGGATTTTTTGTTTAAAAGTAGCCATCCTAATGGATGGGAGCTTTGTCAATCACTTTAAAAGTAGCACTGCCCAGGCTCCAACCTTGGGAGGTGGGACTTGGAAATTAGTTTTGTTTACTTGATTTTTAAACTACTTTGGTGATTCTGCCCTGGCTGGAGTGGCTCAGTTGGTTGGCGTGTCATCCTGTACACCGAAAGGTCTCAGGTTTGATGCCTAGTCAGGGTGTGTAGGAGAGGCAACCAATTGGATGTCTCTCTCTCCCCTCTCTAAAGTTTCTTGGTGTCTCTGATGTGTAGCCAGGATTAAGTACTACTACATTAACTTGGAGGTGATTACCAATCTTATAATTTATTTCATCTTATGACTTTATATATATATATATAATCTTTAAGAACAAAGGAGATGATATTCTAAAATATCACAACTAAAAATGGCTCTTGCTCAGCTGGTGTGCCTCACTGGTTGAGCAATGACCTGTCATGATTTCGATTCCGTCAGGGAACATGCCTCGGTTGGGGCTTGATCCCCATTTGGGAGGGGAGGGCATGCAAGAGGAACCTGATCAATAATTTTCCCTCATCATTGATGTTTCTATCTCTCCCTTCCTCTCTAAAATCAATAAAAACATTTTTTTAAAAAGGAAAATGGTTCTTATCCTCGCTTTTCAATTAAAGCTAGACTACCTTTTGAGTGTCTTAATTACAAAGATAACCACTATGACTTCTATCATCATAGATTAAAGTTTACTGACTGTTTTAAAACTTTCTAGTTTTGCTGTGCATTATATTGTGTCTGGCTTCCTTTCATCAATGTTATATTTGTGAGATTTAGCCACATATTTACCTATGCTGTTTGCTCATTTTCATTGCTGTATGGTATTCTACTGTAGAATTATCATTCATCCATTCCTACTGGGACCTTTGTGTTGTTTCCAAATAATTGATTATGACAATTACTGCTGTTGTGAACATGCATGTCATATATATATATATATATATATATATATATATATATGCAACATTATGTTGTGTATTAACCCAGAAGTAAAATAGTTGAATCACAGATTATGTGTATGTTCAACTAAAGAGAAATTGCTCAAAATTAAGACATAATAACCAAACTCAAGTTATTCTATATTAAATATTTGCAATAAGCTACTAAATATATTTTGGAGACTAGGGAAATTTAGGGAATTGTTCATTTTGATAGGTATGAGAATGATATGGTGATTAGGTAGGGAAAATGTTTAAATGTATGCTCAAAAACTTGGTGTGAATAGTCACACCTGTATAGTATGTGCTAAATGGTTTTTGCGGAAAACCCTATATAGACAAGCAAAGATGGCTATATATATATTTCCCTATATGTTAAAATTTTTTAATAATAAAGTGCACTGTGATGAAGGGCTACAGATGAATTGGCCAAGAACAACAGCTGATAATTATCATTGGGCAAAAGAATAGCTAATATTGGTAATCTGATCTTTTCAAAGTAAATGCTGTGCATTGCTTGGCTAGAGGTCCGGGTTTCTAATGTGAGGTAAGCTCTCTGTTTAGCAACAGAGGACTATAAATTGGTCCCTTTATAAAATATTTGCAATTATCCCAGTCTTACTGTTCAAAGTATTTTAAGTTTCTGTTTACTCACAAAATTTTTTGAAAAGAACTTATGTGTGCCCAGTTGGTTTGACTTAGTGGTTGAACTTTGACCTATGAATCGGTTGATTCCCAGTCAAGGCACTTGCCTGGATTGCGGGCTCCACCCCCAGTGGGAGGCGTGCAGGAGGCAGCTGATTGGTGATTTTCTCACATCATTGATGTTTCTCTCCCTCTCCCTTCTGTCTCTGAAATAAATAATAATGATGATGATACTTGGCTAATTTCTGTGTTAGCTGCCAATTTCACTTTTTTAAATTGTCTCTAAAGCCTTAATTATTTTTATTAACAGGAAACAAAATGCCAACATAATGCCCCAGCAACACAAACCAAGAGATTTTCACCTTATCTTGACATAATGGTGGGTCACGTTCAGTTGCACGATATCAGAAGTAACATCATTCATTTTAGTTTGGTTATCTCTAAAATGACTTATACTCTAGCATGCTGAAGTATGGAGTTACAAATATGCTGGCTAGTATGTATAAGCCATCACTATCTTGTTCGTATGAAAGTCCACCGTTGTTTCTAATGTTTATGGTGAGTTGTCATTTTATTGTTACTGCTGCTTTCAAAGCAGTTTTTTGCCCATTGGTTACAACAATGTTTCCTTTTCCATTCTTGTTCCCCAGCCAACTGGACTCTCTCCTTACTATTAGCAATTTCCTATATATTTTTTTAGAAATCACATGGGTTTTTTTTTACAGAACAAGAGTGCTGATCATTACCAGAACTTAATTCATCTTAGAAAAATGCCTCCTCCACCCCCTCACCAAAGAAATGTTCTATGGTAGCCACCCTTCCCTTTAATGGCTGCATAATGTCATATGGATTGGACATATGGATATTACATGCAACAATGCAATGAATATTCTCATATGTACATTAATGAATATATATGCCACTACCTATTACATATATATATTTGGGGGGAGGGCTGGCCTATTTATTAACAATTTCTGGGCCAATGTTTTTAAATTTTGCTAGATGTTTAATTGTTCTCCTGATGTTATTCCAACTTCTAGTTCTACCAACAATGTACAAGAGTAAAGTTTCAAACTTCTAAGAAAAAGAGAGTCTTTGAGGTGGTTGTGAATATTTCAAAGTCATTTCTGACAAATACACATAGATGAAAGATTTCTAGAAATGCATACATTAGCAAAAATTGTTTCCAAAATGTTCCTAGAAACATGAAAGTTCACCTCTAATTCAAGGTTTCCTCCTTTCAAAAACACCAGGACCATCAATTTCTTGTGTTTTCCAAGAAAAAAAGTTTAATTCCTCAATTATTACTACCTCAATGGTGCAGGTATTAAATTGTGTTGCCCAATATGCACACTGAAGCTTCAAGGAATCAAGCTTGATAAAAAAAATAATTTAAACCCTGACGGGTTTGGCTCAGTGGATAGAGCGTTGGTCTGAGACTGAAGGGTCCCAGGTTCGATTCTGGTCAAGGGCATGTACCTTGGTTGCGGGCACATCCCCAATTGGGGGGGGGGGGGTGGAGGTGTGTGCAGGAGGCAGCTGATTGATGTTTCTAACTCTCTATCCCTCTCCCTCCCTCTCTGTAAAAAAAATCAATAAAATATATATTTAAAAAAATTTAAGTTAATATATCTTGAGCCAGGAAGGCTCAATTTTATATAGTTGCATGTTTTGAGGCTTTGAACAAAGCTTGTTTAAAACTATTTTCCATCCATTTCAACAAATGGCAGAGAGTAAGTTATTCTGCTGTGTGGTGGCTCTTTTGGTGGAACATCATAGTAGATCTTACACATGCAGGAAGGAAGCAGTACAGCATAGAACTAAAGAATTTGGCTTTTTGAATATCAGATGGTTTAGGGCTCAGTAAGGTTAAAAAAAAGTGATGAGCTCAAACACTAAATCCTGCCATCATCAAATGAGCTGCCTCCAATTCAAGGGAGAAACGCTTCTTGAAAATAAAATCAGGGCTCTGGCCAGGTAGGCTCAGTTGGTTAGTGTCGTCCCCCTAAGCCAGTGGTTCTCAACCTGTGGGTCTCGACCCCTTTGGTGGTCAAACCACCCTATCACAGGGTCGCCTAAGACCATCCTGCATATCAGATATTTACATTACAATTCATAACAGTAGCAAGATTACAGTTATGAAGTAGCAACGAAAATAATTTTATGGTTGGGTCATAACATGAGGAACTGTATTTAATGGGCCAGAAGGTTGAGAACCACTTCGGCCTAAGCCAAGGTTGTGGGTTCAATCCCTAGTCAGGGCACACGCAAAAAGCAACCAATGAATGCA